AACACGTAGCATCTGGTGATAGAGATTTTGGTACCATCTGGTAAATCATGACTTCTGAAAAGAGACTTCATATTTACTAACGCTGATCTCTATTCGTTGTTTTATTTGAGTAGTGTGGTCCCATTGACTGTTTATAATAGTACCAAGATATGTGTAGCTGTTTACCCTGTCAATTGACTATTGGTTAATCAAAAGCCATGTATTCAATATTTCGCGCCTATGACTACCATGTACTTTACATTACTCTTTGTAAACCATCCACGATATTTGTAAAAACTACTTCGTCGTTGGAATATCTAATGTTGTTTAAATGAACTACTTCGTCTAATATGCCTTTTTGTAGTTCCTCAAGTGTTTGCTCGAAGAGGCTTATGGTATGCGTCGCCAGAACTAGTCTGCTACGGGTACCATGTACCTACAGGACCATGTCAGCTGCCGCTCTGTAGGTGATCACCGGCTGCGTTCCTTTACATGTGCTGGCAGTTGAAAGGGCCAGGAATCATAGTCAGTGTGAGCGTTGGGCGGATAAAAGAGAGAAGTTTAAAAGAGAGTGTAACTGTAGTATGTTTGATTCCGTGAGATAAATGGTTGAGAAAATAATGAAAGATGAGTGGTCGTGTACAAGAATCCACCAATTTATCAGGGAGCTGCTATCTTCCAAAGAACGAGGGATGAGGGAACTTACAACAAAATTTTAAAACGAGCAAGTAGCATCTCGGTGGGGTTCGAACTGTTGCGGGCCAAAATAGGAGTAAATGAGAGACAGACGGCGCGATAGAGATAGCGGCCTCGCTAAGATAGGGCGTTTAAAGTCTTTGGTGGTTCGTGTGGGTGTGGTTTTTTCGATAAATGTGTGGAAGAAAGAATGGGAATCGGGTGATAGCAAGTCGTCAGAAGAGATGTTTTTCCTTAACCAGCACTTCCATTATGATATATGGAGTGACAGAGAAGAGGTTTTTAGTTGGATTCCGATCGTCTCGGAGTGGTAATGGTCGAAGTGTCAAAGTTCTAGCTCCCTCGGACATCTCCTCCTGGAACAACTTTGTAAGGATATTAGAAACCCAACACTACCTGGATGAGTCACAGTTTTTTATGCAGATGTTTCTTCTTCACTTTAAAGATATAAAAAAAATGTTTGCTCCAAGATAATATGTTCAGAGTGCATGTTAAATAACACAACAGGGACTAATGCACCCTTATCTCACTCCTCTATCTAATTCTTGTCAGTTTGCTTGTAATATAAATTATAAAATTTTCAAGGCTCTATCATCTAAGCTCGCTTTTTTCAAGATGGTTATGAGCGCTTATCATGTTTTACTCTATCAACTGCCATTTCGTAGTTGATAAAACAAATATGTACATCACAGTTAATATCTTTGCACCTCTGCATAAACACTTGTACAACTAATAGAGTCTCACGGGTACCTGGGGCATCGCAGAATCCAAATTGTGTCCATGACAATTCTTCAAATTTTTCGCTGTACCGCGTTTATACTAAAGCAAAAAAACAGTCAGAGACATTGTTCGAGACAAGGACATCTTTTTGCCTGTTCATTTTTCTTTTTATTTGTATACTCAAAAGATTCTCTTATTTCTGAGTCTTTTTCTAGGCCATCTCTTTTTGTCTATATATCAATTGTGTTCTCACAATTTAAAACTAAATTCTCTCAACGCGCAAGGTTAGCAGTGTGTCCTTACCGTACCAAGGCTATAATCTCTTCAGCTCTCTATGGCACCACTTGAGTAACACTTTTCCACTCAAATACGATAGTATTACACCTTGAGGTTGACAAACGAAATAGTCATAAAACAAATCTTACCCTACGTTAAGCCAGTTGCAATTCGGCTGTCTGGTGGTTTTCCGATTGAGCATGGTGTAGGTGTGTATATGTACATGTGTATTTTATGTTTACGTATGTATGTGTGAGTGTGTATGCGATGTTCAATCTCAAAAATTTACAAGTAATGACATGCTATGTTCTCAGTTGATCATCAGAGCAATAATACAATTCAAACAAGAATTGATAAAATGGCTCAATATATTGAAAGTTCATTGTGTGTATATTTAAAAACATCTTGGTTTTCTATTTAACTGGATAAGTCAACTGTACCAGGACATAAGCTCTACTTTTAGCATACGTACAGTTCACAAATCAAGAACAAATTTGCCACGAATTATGATTTGAAAAATATTTGCAAATTGGTACTAGAGGAAAATCAATATTTCATACATTGTATGAGTTTTTTAAATTTAAATTAAAAGAAATACGTGTAAGTTATACGTAACGATTATTTTGTCCCCTACATTGGGGTCAATACAGGGGGTTGAAAATTGGGGACAGAAATTACTGGGGTGGAGATAGGGTAAGCAAAAGAAACCAAAACGTTTGCGATCGGCTACTCAGGGTTTTTTGGAGAGCTGGGCCGTAGATAAGTGAATAAAATAGGGGGACTGGAATGGTGTAACTACAAAAATGAAAAAAGGGGTACTTACATGGATCTCCTGGACAACCACAAACACAAGTAGGTTCTTAAGCTATTTGAAATGGGCGCCGCTTGCATAATTCTTCCTGCTGGATGAAAGAAAGACTTTTCTTTACTAAAAAAAAAATACAAAAACGGGTTAGAAACTTTTTAAAAGGAAATAATAACTTGGTTTAAGAAAAAATTTAAATCTTTATTAATATCTCATCACAAACAAACAAATATAAATAATAATAATCAAATACAAAATAACAAAAAAAACTTACAATGTTACTATCGGTTTACTACAATGTTACAATCGAAGTTGGAGATACTAGAAAAACTTACAATTATTAATGGGTGACATTTTGTAGCAGAAATAAATTATTACAGATGAAAAATATCTTTTTAAAAGGTAATATGGATGTAGGTTAACCTTAAAAAAAAAACAAAACAAAATAAGATCTCAATTTATACAGGAACGCAATCTTCAAAACTTGGCTTTAGGAACACTCAAGCCTTTGCCTGGAACTATGTGGACATTCATAAAGTTATTTGGAACGCCGTTTTACAAATACCTTGGGTAAGAGACGGCACGAAAACAAAACTGATTATTTTTGCAAAAATTGGCACATTACATTGAGTATAATTCACTTTTCTACCAAAAAATTTGCCGGTTTCTTCAAACGACCCAGGCGGTGTGTAGTCTCTTCAAAAACTCTTCCAAACTTAAAACTTGACTTTGCTTCCGCTCCATATCGGCTTCCTCTCTTGCGTCTTACCCCTCGTATCAATCAAAGGGACTAGCCAATCTGAATTCTTTGAAACTACGCGCTTAGAATATCTAACCTTGATCATTCCTAGCTTTTAAAATTGCAGAACTAAAACGTAGAATGTAACCATATTTTTACTTCGCAGTTAAAATTGGAATTTTTCTTCGATGTGTCTAGACTCTTACGTCACAATATAAACAGAGACTCAGCGACATTTTAAACATAGCTCAGGGGCGTACCAAAAAAATTTTATATCCTAAATATTCGATAGTTATAAGGAGTTTATACATGCTACAAATATCTTATTAGTAGTCACAGATGGTGCTCGAGCGATGATAGGGCACCATAGAGGTTTTCTTGCACATCTAAAAAAGAGGTGCGGAATGAAGTAAATTTATTAAAAATAAAATCAGGTATTTCTTTATTTGTGACAAAACTTTTTCAGTACAAACAAAATTTTTCAGCCTATTCTCAAATTTATCAGAAGGAGAAAAAAAGATGATAACATACTTGCTTATTGTCAGCACTTGGATGCTCTTAATTCACATTTCAATCAAAAATTTTATGATATTTTAAAAATTAATATACTTCATTGGATAATAGAGCCTTTTTCAAGTGCAAAGTCCAAATGAATCGAAATTCAAATAAAAAAAGCGACAACAATTCTGGCTGCAAAAAGAGATCCTTACGTCTTTTCCTGAAATATATTTTATATTATATAATTCAAATGTTCTTAACTGCATTTCCCTCATCAATATTCAGTTGAACCTGTTAAGATTACTAATGACAAATTGGTAGTAACACACCAGGATCATCCTTCTTATTAAAATTATTTTAAAATATCGAGGCTTTTGACTATTTTGACACTGATTTATAAGTTATTATATAACTTAAGTCACTAATCTTTGAAAGTGTGTTTGATAATAAAATGTATATAGGCATAAATCTTTCTTTTTATCCATCTTGAAATGCAATGATATTTGTTACTATAATAATCACAGTTAATTAACCTGCAAATGTGTATAGCCTGGCAGTTAATACTTGTTAGCTCATCGTCACATGGACAGTAAGAGCAGTCCTCTGAAATTATAATTACGGTTTTCGGTTAATGTTTTCGAACAAAATTACACGCATTTGTGATAATATTAAAACTGGTGGTCACTTTGTGAAGTGCCATTTGAAATAGTATCACAATCCATACACGCTATTAACCCTGCGTGGTTGATGCGTCATATAAGGAAAAAAAAGTTATAATCAGTGAAAATAGAAAAAATCCATATTTTAAGTAATTTTTAAATAATAATGTTAACGGCCTATTTGAGAAAAAGCATAAGTCAATTATTTTTACTGAATTATCACAGAACTTTTTCTGCAAAAATCCGAATGCCATCTCTCACATCCACCTCAAAACAGATCCGCCTTGGTCTAATATTCATTAGCTTCTCATACTTAAAAATTATTGTTATTTGTATAAATAAATTAGAAAACAAATAAATTTGATTATAAAAATATATTTAAACTTTTCCGATGTGTGCATATTCTAATTATTACTAATATTGTTTTGATATTAAGTTATTATCAAAAACGGCCTTAACATAACTATAATCTTCAGTCTGCATCTATTGACATAAAAGTTTATCAACACACTGTGTTCATTTAACCAGGTATTTAACCTTTAAGTAACCGACTGAAAACAAATTTCTATAATCTACTATTAACAAAATGATAAGAACAATATAAAGCCAATACTGGGCCATGCTCTCCGTAGTTGTTAACAGCAACGAGTGTTGTTCATGCCGGGTAATGAAGTGATAAACAGTTTGTGATCGTTTTAACCAAAATTTTCAAAATGAAAGAACGGACTATGCAATATTTCGTTTACGTTTTTGAGTTAAGAAATAAACATTTCTCGCATCCTAGTGAATATTTATAACACAAACCTTTCATTTATATAGAGTGTAAATAATAAACTTTTTAACATTGTAAATCTCCGAAAAATGGATTACAAACATTACGGCTCTATAAGCCTTACTCCTTTAATCGAAAAGGAAAAGGAAGTGCTCATTCCTATCTCACGCCCCACTGTAACTACAGAATATCAGGGATTAAAGATTTTGGGAATGTGCAAATCTACCTATCTGTTTTCATTTTACCTATTTTTCTACGTTTTTTTCCTGTGCAGCGGCGCGATGATATTCTCCTATTTTGAAAACCCCGAAGAAAGAGCTACAAGACTAACAGTCAGAATGTCTATTCAGAAGTTTCTTCAGGCAAATCCAACCGTACCAGGTTAGCAATTTTATAAATATATTGAAAAATTAAAATGTTATGTAGTATTAAAATACAAAATTATACTGGTAAGGCAGTTAAAATATAATAACTGTTTAGTAATTGAATTGCATATTTCAGAAACCCCATATTTCCATTTTTATAAAATATTGAGAAATTAGAAAAAACCTTATTTTATGAAATATTTTAAAAAACCTGTTGTACTTTTGTATTAAAATGAAATATATGTGTTTTAATCAGTTTGCATAAAAAAGTGGTAAATTTTAGCTTTATAAATGTTTTTTTCTTTTTTACTTTTGTGGATTTTTGGGGTTTTTGAAATATATTCAAGGATGTAAAACTAAGAAACCATGTTTAATATAAACATTTTTTATTCAAAAGTATGGGCATACAGAATAATATATCAGTAGTAATCACTCATCCGGTTGTATTATTTCAGTTGAATCTCCCTCGCATGTTGGCAAATTAAAAATTTCTCCGTAAAAGTCCTTGACTTCTTTATTATCTGGTAGATACTTTTCCAGTTTTCTCAAGTCTTGCATCTTGTTGATATTAATAGAATATGTCCTTCGGTGTATGCTTTTCTTGTAGGGAAACTAATATCATCCTTGTTGCTATTTCCTAGCTGAAAAAAATGATCTATCAAGCCATCTATGTACTCTTTGGTAATAACAATTCCACCCGTGATTACTAGAATGAATAAACTGTCGAAAGTTGGATATTTTAAAAGCAATTTTTTGATCTCTTGGAATATTTCTGCCCAAAAATTCATTGGAGAGCATCGTCTTTTTAAAATACGTGGGCCACCATCCTTTAAAGTTTAATATGTTATCAGAATTCGGCAAAACTACAGTAAATCGGTTTAAACTCTTGTTAGATGTTATGATAAGCTCTACATACTCTTTTAACGTGTAAATTCTCTCTGATTTTTTAATTTTCCTTTTATAACTTTGCCAACGATATGCGTTTTGATTTGATTTGATTGTTTTGATATACGTTTTAAATTTTATTTGTTACTAAAAACTATAAAAAACTCTATTTTTCAGAGTTTTTAATAAAAAAAATGCAAGAAAAATTATAACTAAAAACAACTTAAATTTTCTTTAAAAGAAAAATATCTTCGTCTACTTTTGAAAGGTTTTAATATTTTTATAATGTCTTAATGATATATTTGGATAAACAAAATCATTTTAATTTTTTTAAGTTTATGGTGTAGTATGTTTTGTCATTTATTTCTACTAAAATGCCAATGAAATGTTTAAAAGTTTTTTTTTTAAATTGGACCACCAAAAAAATATCAATCTTTAGATTATTTCCATCTACTTCGATATTTCGACATTTTCATCAGACTCCATATTTTCAACCAATTCTACATGCTCTTCTTCATGTTCATCTGCCTTCTCTCCATTATCATCGTCACTGTTATTCATCGCCATGTCCATTTCTTTTGCTAAATTTTCATCGTCGTTCGTCTATTCTTCTATTTCTCTATTTTCTCAAAGAGTGGGCAAAGTTGAACCCATTGGGCAAAGTAGGCCATGTTTAAAGTATCTACTATACTCGACCATGCACTTAGTTTGTGTTGTTTGTTTGTAGTTCATTTTACTAAAAAATGTATCTATTTCTTCTTCTCATGTTAGGCCCTTTGGTCCTTCTTGGCCGATTTTGTATTAGTAGCTGTGATGGTGACTAATGGCTTTCCCGCTACATTTTAATGGTTCTGTTAGTTGTGAATCTCTTGCTATTCAGGCTATTCTCTCTCTGTCCATTCTCGTGACATGCTGATTATATTCTTGTGTTCTCTATATTCCGAATGTATTATGAAGTTCTCAATCTTTTGTTGGTTTACGCTGTGTAGGCTCTTGTTTCTATTGCGCAATTCATTATCCGGCTTTCACACGATTTACTCATATCTTTATTTCTCCAGATTACATCCCTCAGACATCTTGGCATGTAAGCAGCTTTGTTTTCCTCTTTTAAAATCCCCATAGCTAGATAGTTCTACTCAAAGATAAACGAATCTCGAGACTTTTTCATATTATTAATTTCCTTGTTTTTATCAGGGATTTGGTCTTTGGTTGTTGATATCTACATGCTTCTTCGCCACTGTGTTGAATGTCTGTATCATGAGCTGTAGGTTATCCTCATTATTGGACATTAAGATTGCGACTTCTGCATAGCAAAGAATTTTTATTTGTTTTTTCTCATCTTATAATTATATTTGTCTTGTCTTTTTAACATCTTCTATGATTTTGTCTTATCTGATTTTATTATATCTTATCTGATTTTTCTCGTTTAGTAATCTCAGCACATCTTCCAATCTGACACAGTTGAAGGTTTTAATCAAATATATAAAGATTTATTATATAATCATACAAACAGATTTATTATATTCCAGAGCTTTTTCGACATATTATGGCTATGAATATGACGTCTATTGTAGAACTATTAGATCGAAAGCCTTGTTGTTTTTACGGCACTAGTTGCGCATCCTTTATTTATTTTATAGGCAAGTATTCCTGTTAAAAGTTCGAGAGTTATGTTCAGCAAGGTAATTAGTAGGATTTTTCCTGTTTCCCCTCTTGTGTATTGATATTGTTATATACTGATCTGGTACACCCTGGTTCTATATTATTTCTTGAAAAAGCTTCTTTATGTTTTCAATTAGCGTTTCTTCTCCATCTTTTATTTATTGGGTATTCCATGATGGCTTTTTGGTTTTTAATTTACATAATGTTTTTTCCTATTTCCCCTTTTGTGATTTCTTTTTCCGTTTCTAAATTTAATTCATCTTTATTTTCTCTTCTTCTTCTTCAGGTATAATAGTAACTACCTTGATAGTTCTTCTATTTATTTAGTCCATTTTACTGTTTACTATTTTATTTAAACTTCTATATTCGTTAATGGATTTTTTCTTACGTTTCAGTGTTTTTCAAATTTTCCTTTTTTTTTGTGTCCCCACATTTGTGTATTCCACTTCTTTAGTAAAATATATAAAAAATTATAAAACAATAAAGAAGCATGTTTCCATATTTTTTAAGCAGTGTATAAGAAAGAACTTCTGTTATTGTAATTGAACCTAAATTAAGAAAATTTTTTTAAAATATAACACAAACTTATCAATCCATTATTGAGTAATGTTTTGGAAACCTGCTTATTTTATAAACTACAGTACAGACAAGTCAGGAGGTCAAGATGTGATTTCCCAAGTAATTTAATAAGTTTTATTTATATGAATCACGTCAAGATGTGTAGAAATATATGGGCTGATCGCTGATCTCACATTGTTCCGTGTTACACATTTTGTAATTTTCCCTTTTTTAACTTTACCATAATAAAGTATCAACTTGCTAAAAAAATGTTTTCTCTATTAGTATTATAATCACTGGTTTCTCCTCGTTTTTTCGTTATTCCACTTTTTTATATTTTTGTTTTATCTAATTTGTTTTTTTTTTTTTAATTTTTTATATTGTAGTGCAGTCTTCAACATACGTACTTATATTTATACCAATTGTCATTTTTTTTAATTCCAGTGTCATTTATGACAGTTGTTTTCTATATCACAAGATTTCTTTTATAAAAATTTGGGTCAAAATTTTGGATATGAATCTAAATGGGTTTCAGAAATGATCATAACGTATTAATGGCAATATCGTTTCCTTGAGACTTTCTTGGAGGTATTTTTCTTCTTATTCCTCTTTATAAACATTTATGCTTGTTCATTGACGAATTAATACCTCTATCGAAGGTTGTCACTTCATCTTCTGCGCGGTCGTCTGATACTTCTTTTGCCGATTGGAAACGTATCTCTTGTTTTGTTTGACGACGCGGATCTTCTCCATCCTGCTTATATGGTTATTCCATTCTTCTTTTGTTCTATTTTGTGTTTATTCATTTATACATTGTACGTTATATTTTCTTCTAATATCTTCACTTTTCTTTCGATCTCTCAGCGTATTTCCTGTAATTCTTCTTAATACCCTCATCTCTGCCGTTTCCAGTAGCCTTTGGATTGTGGCTGTGTCCCCTCTTGTTTCTAAGGTATATGTCATTATTGGTCTTACACTGGCTTTACATTTATTTCAATGTTAATGTGTCTGTCTCGCCTTATAGTGTTATAAAGGCATCCCGCTAATCTATTTGCTTTTTTCTTGATCTCTCACTTATTTGTCTAGGTCTCCATAGCTGGACAGTATAATTCCCAGGTATTTTATTTCCATTACCCGTTTAATACTGATGCCATCAATTTTTATTTTATGTCTGGTTGATTCTTTGCTGACTACTATCGTTTTAGTTTTCTGGGATGAGATTATCATATTAAATTTGTTTGCTCTTATGTTAAATGTGGACAAGTCTTTGCAGACTATCTTCATCTTGGGGTATCGATATTGCGTCGTTTGTTTCCCATTCTGTATCCTCTTTCTTTGTTAACGCTTTTGAAGATTTCATCCATGATTAAATTGAAGATCATAGGGCTCGATGAGACCCCTTATCTTATTCCTCTTCCCATTTCTATAGGTTCTGTAAGTTGTCCATTTAATCTGAGGTATTTTGACTAATATTTTTTACTGAAAAAAATTTAACATATAGTACTTCGATGGCCCTTACTAATGAGTCATAATCTATTAAAACATTTTAAAAATACGTTTTTTCCGATTTCATACTATTTATAATTTATTTGTTGTGTCATGCACTTGATATACTGGTGTAAAATTAGGTGTAAGATTATGTCACGCTCATTATACTGGTGTAAAATTAGAAATAAATAAAGAAAAGATAAGATATATTGTAGTTAGAACTTGCTACGAAAAAAGGAATTCAGGTTTAGCAATTAAAATTTATATAAAAAGCTTAGTATATACTTTGTATAGTATATAACTTTGAACATACTTTTACCTACTTAGAAAAAAAAAACACAAAAACTTGTATTACTGAACGTAAGATTTCTTCATTATAGTCTAAGCGCAGTTTCTGGGAGCCACTGGTTTGTTTCCGGGGTT